AAGATCACAGCAGAAACAAATAGAGTCTAAAAAATAAAAATAAAAAAGATCAATGAAACCAAGAGCTGCTTCTTTGAAAGGATAAACAAGGTTGACCAACCTTTCACATGATTTATCAAGAAAAAAAGAGGGAGGACCCAAATAAATAAGAAATAAAAGAGAAGTAACAACAGACACCATAGAAATACAAAGGATTGTAAGAAAACATTACAAACAACTATATAACAACAACTTGGACAATTTGGACCAAATGGATAAATTCCTAGAAACAGACAATCTTCCCATATCAAATCAGGAAGAATCAGAGAATATGAATAGACAGATTGCAACTAGTGAAATCAAAGCAGGAATGAAAAACAAAACAAAACAAAAAAATCCCAACAAACAAAAGCCCTGGACCAGATGGCTTCACACGAGAAATTTACCAAACATTCAGGGAACTAACGCCTGTCCTTCTCAACTCTTCCAAAAAATCCAAGAGGGAGGAAAATTCCCAAACTCCTTTTACCAGGCCAGCATATCCTAATTCCAACACCAGGTAAAGACACTACAAAGAAAGAAAATTATGGCCAATGTCCCTGATGAACATATATGCTAAAATCGTCAACAAAATATTAGCAAACCAAATCCAGCAATACATTAAAAAGATCATACACCATTATCAAATGGGATTTATTCAATATTGTTACAATATCCATAAATCAATAGACATGATACACCATATAAATAAAATGAAGGATAAAAACCGCATGATCATATCTATAGTACTGGAAGTTCTAGCCACAGTAACCAGACAACAAGAAGAAATAAAAGGCATCCAATTAGAAAGGAAGAAGTAAAACCGTCATTATTTGCAGATGATATGATACTGTATATATAGAACCCTGAAGAGTCCATACACACACAAAAACTACTAGAACTAAAATAGGTTCAGTAAATTAACAGGATACAAAATAAATATCCAGAAATCAGTTAAATTTTTATACACCAATAGTGAACTGCCAGAAAGGGAAACTAAGAAAACAATCCCATTTATAATTGCTTCAAAAAGGATAAAATACCTAGAAATAAATTTAACCAAGGATGTAAAAGACTTGTACTCAGAATATTATAAGGCACTAAAGAAAGAAATTGAAGAAGATACAGATAAGTGGAAGAATATGCCATGTTCATGGATAGGAAGAAATTATATCTTGGACATTTCTGGTATATATATATATATATATATATATATATATATATATATCATCAAGCAAGGGAAACAAAAGAAAAATAAACAAATTGGACTACATCAAACTAAAATGTTTTTGCACAGCAAAGAAAACCACAATAAAATTAAAAGGCAACACACTAAATGGAAGAACATATTCACTGATACATCTGATAAAAGGTTAAATTCCAAAATTCATAACTTATAAAACTCAACACCAAAAAAAAAACAAAAAAAAAACAATCCAATTTAAAAATGGGCAAAGGACCTGAATCGACACTTCTTCAAAGAGGACATACAGATGGCCAATAGACACATGAAAGGATGCTCAACATCACTAATCATCAGAAATGCAAATTAAAACCACAATGAGATATCACTTCACACCTGTCAGAATGGCTATCATCAAGAAATCATCAAACAAGTGTTGGCAAGGATGTGGAGAAAAGGGAACCCTCATGCACTGTTGTAGGGAATGCAGACTGGTGTATCCACTGTGAAAAGCCATATGGAGCTAACTAACCTCAAAAAATTAAAAATAGAACTGCCTTATGACCCAGCGAATTCGTGTCTGGGAATTTATCCAAAGAAACTCAAAACACTAACTTGAAAGAATATATGCACTACTATGTTTCTTGCAGTGCTATTTACAACAGCCAAGATTTGGAAGCAGCCCAAGTGTCCATCAGTAAATGAGTGGATAAAACAGCTATGGTACATTTACACAATGGAATACTACTTGGCCATAAAAAGGAAGAAAATTTCACCCTTTGGGACAGCCTGGATGGACCTGGAGAGGATGGACCTGCTAAGTGAAATAAGCCAGTCAGAGAAAGACAAGTACCATATCATTTCACTCATATGTGGAATCAAATGAACAAACTCAACTAACAATAGAGAAAGACTCAGACAGAGAGCAGACTGAGAACTCTGTGACAGGGGTGGAGGTGTGGAGGGATTGTGGAAAAAAGCGAGAGAGAACTCATCCACATGGATAATAGTGGGGTGAATGGGGGCAAGTAAGGTTGGGTGGAGGTGGATGAGGGTATGGGGGGATAAGTGATGATAGAAAAAAATTAAATAAAAAGAAAATGAATAAAATAAAACAAAATGGATATAGGTGCTAGGACGACCAAATAAGATAATCCAGGAAATCGCTAAGCATGGGGTCTGGCACCTAGAAGTTAACTGATGGTATTTCTTCTGTGTTCCTTTCCAAATGGCATTGGTGTCCCTGGCTTGGTGAAAGCATATTCTGTGTATGTGTATTTAACTTATGACTGTATATGCAACCTACAGTCTTGCTCTCCTGTGAAGACAAGGTTAAGCAACCACTTTTTGAAAAGCCACAATTTATGCATTTAAATGAATGTTGGTTTTTATATCCCTCTGAGAGGCTAGACTCTCATGTCTCTCAAAATGCCACAACTGTTGGAAACATTCTGGGTACTTTTCATTTGGCATCTTTATGAGAGCCTGTTCCAGTAATCTATTATGATCTAACAAATCACCTCAAAATTTAGTGGCTTAGAACAACAATCCATCATTATCACTTGTACCTCTGTGGGTTGACTGGCTTAGCTGGGTTCTTACCTGGGGTCTTCTAAGTAGGTATAGTCGGAGGTAGGCTGGGGCTGGAATCATCTGAAAACTCTACTGGGCTGGCCATCCAGGATGGGGCAGGGATGGTAGAACAGCTCAGGGAAGGCTCTCTCTCAGCCCATGTGGTCTTTCCACATGCCAGCTTGGGCTTCCCCACTGCATGGTGGACTCAGCTTACAGAGACATCTTTGTGGGTGGCTGGCTTCCCCCAGAGTGAGCTGTTTAAGAGGCGGAAAGTAGAATCAGCTAGATCTGGACCTGATAACTAATCAACAGACCTCCCGACTCCCTTATTCAAGGGGAGAAGACATAGACCCCCATCTCTGCACAGGATGAGGGTCAAAGAATCTATGTCCATCTTTAATCATCTACAGAGCTACAAAAGTGTTTTCTTGCTTGGGCACATCTTTTTTTTTTTGCCCCCACCAAAGACAATGTGTAGCTTCCCAAGGTGAAGACACTGACATAGGTCTCACTCATTTTGATTTCAGTTTTTATCTGAGTAAAAACCTCAGCATGGTGTTGCATTATGGACACACCTCACATGCCTTGGAATTGCAGAGCAAGTGGCCTATGCCAGAGAAGGGTTAGACCAGTCACTGATTTCCCCGAGCTCCCCCATCAGCCCTTTCTGAGAGTCTGATCTCCACTAATGACTTCCTCCTAAGGCTCCTCCCGCCCCTGCCTTACCTGCTACCAAGTCTTCTTCCTAAAGCCCGCACAAGCAGCACGTCACACCCTTGTTGAGAGAGCTTCACTCATCCATTTCTCATACAGCCCAGACATCAGGTAGACCCTTGAGGTTCCTCATGGCTGAAAGGGCATGGCTTTCCAGTTAAGTTTTCACCAAATGGTCTCCCTACTTCTTCCAGTAGTGTCACCCACACATACAGCCACGCATGCTTGTAGACTGACATGCACACACACAGGCTCGCGTTGTTCTTTCAACCCATTAATTCAGTGCCTGCTTCAAGTTCCCCAAAGCTCCGTCACCATTTCACAAACATGCTGTGTGTTTTTGTCTTTGGGGGGCTTGGCTTTCATTCCTGAAACTTAAGTGCATTTCTTATTGTTTTATTGTTTCCCTTAGTACCAAGCACTGTACCAGTGTAGCAGTACATATGGGTTGCAATACTGTATGGAGTTCCTTCTCACTTACATTGAATCTTCTACTTTCTGTCTCTGCCACCTTTGTCACCCTTTCTCTGTTGGAGGCCCATCTAGAATCAGTAAGCTGTCTCTCATCTCCTCTCTTTCCCTCAGAGACTCACGGTGAGGGTGAAATAGGTGGACATTATTTGGGGCACCACTGAAGTCCACAGACCCCTTGGCATAACATCCCCTGTAACAGCAGTCACTGAAGTGTTGCTTATTCAGGACCATAGGTGGATTCTGGTATGTTCCAGGCAGCCTCCCGAGCCTGAGGGAGACCATGAAGCATCAGACCTTGTTGTCACCCCTTAGAAATACACAGCAATGCTGCTGTCCAATGTGTGAGCGTGGAGCTTTTGGCCACCTGGTAAGCAGGTGAGAGATGGCAAACTCTGCTCAACTCGCCTGCTTTGCTCTACTAAATTATAATTCTGTAAACCCAGTTTCAGGGAGAGATTGTTGGGAGGGCCCCTATTAATCGGCTGTCAAGGTGGGGAGACAAACATGCCACTGAGTGGCCTGGGGAGGGTTTCCAAGTACACACCCACTCCACCTCCTCTCTCCCAAGACTGTCAGCTGAGATGGTGGGACCTCTGCAAAGGGGTTGGGGGTGGGGGGCATGACACCTGAATTTAACCGAAGCCCCCCCGCCATGATCCTGGTTTCTTTTGTTGTTAATCCTCAGGGGGAGGATGAGGGAGGGAGGGGGGAGAGAGACATCAGTGTGTCTCTCTCACTTTGATTGAGTGCCTACCACATGATCTCCACCAGCCTGTGAACCTACAATCCAGGTGGGTACCCTTGACCAGGAATCACACCCGTAACCCTTCGGTCTGCCAGCTGAGCCAAAGGGGGCCGGGCATGATCCTGGTTTCTGGTGCCTATTCTAACCCTCTCCTACAGGAACACTGCACAAGTAGATTTTCCCCAGTGATGTCTGAGTAGATGTCCACTTTAGCTAACTGTAGACCTGTTTTTCAGGTTCATTCTGCCCCCACCACTTTGGGATACCCGGTGCTGACCCCGGAGACCTGCCATGAAACCACACTTGAAGCAATGGAGACAACGAATGCTTTGCGGGATATTTACTTGGGGGCTCCTCTTCCTGGTGATTTTCATTTACTTCACCGACAGCAACCCTGCCGAGCCCGCGCCGAGCTCCTTTGCCCTGCTGGAGCCCAGGAGGCTCTTGCCCATGCCCGGGAAGCAGAGGGCCATCATGGGTGCCATGCAGGACCCCTCCTCGCCGGACAGCGTGGACGCAAACAAGGGGCTGCTGGACGGACACCCCACGGTGCCTCGCGACCTGCAGAAATGGGCCCAGGGGCAAGATGGGGTTGAAAATGAAGAGCTCTTTTCATCCCAGATCGGGAGAAGATCTCAAAGTACTTTCTACCCGGAGGGCGACGAGTACATCTTTGCTGCCGGGTCTCGCAGCCACCGTCAGGGGGCGTCGAAGTCCCTTTCCCCCGGGGACCCTGGCCGGGGGGAGCGGGCATGGCAGGTGAAGAAGGGGCACCGGCACCAGGGCAGCAGCCCAGCGCAGGAGGAGGGCGACGGGGACAGGCTGTACTCCTCCATGTCCAGGGCCTTCCTGCACCGCCTCTGGAAGGGAGCCGTCTCCTCCAAGATGCTCCACCCGCGCCTGCAGAAGGCGATGAAGGACTACCTGGCGGCCAACAAGCACGGCGTGCGCTTCCGCGGGAGGCGCGCGGCGGGGCGGAGCCGGGCGGCCCTGCTGTGCGCGCTGCGGCGCCAGGTGCGCGTGCGCACGCTCGACGGCACGGAGCCGCCCTTCTCGGCGCTGGGCTGGCGGGCGCTGGTGCCCGCGCGGCCGCTCAGCCAGCTGCACCCGCGCGGCCTGCGCTCCTGCGCCGTGGTCATGTCCGCCGGCGCCATCCTCAACTCCTCCTTGGGCGCGGAGATAGGTGGGTGTCGTCGTGGGGGCTCCACCTTCCTCCGGTCCCGTTGGCCGGGCAGAGCCGCGGCTGAGCCCTGGGTGTTCGGGATGTTGGCGGAGACGCTCTTCTCCAACTGGGACTGAAGGGACCTGCCTGGGATCCCAGCTGAGGGGTGCTTTGGGGCAGTTCTGGGGCAGAGGTGCGCGCCGCCTAGCTGGGTGCAAGGGAAGTGACAGGCCGGTGTCCCCGCCTTTTGCAGCCCAGATCCAAGACCCTCCTGCTCTCTCAGAAACTATGTTCTGAGTTGATGGTCTGCCAGCCTGGCCCACACATGCCCGACGAACCTATGGGGGGTAGAGTTATGGGAAACAAGCAAGAGGGCGAGAAAGGAAAGCAAACTCCCACCCACTGGCGGGCGCGGGGAGTGGGGGCGGCAAAGGCAGTTAGGTGTGTGAGCTCCAGAGGGAAGTAAGTATCCATGATGATTATAGTTAGTTAGGGGCTGAACCGTTGTGGGCTTTGAGGAGAGCCCTGTTGCTGTGGACAGGACGTTATTCCTGTCGCAACGATGAGTTCTGACCCGTTGGTACAATCTAACCTTTGGGTCACGGCCAGTGCACCTAGCAGAGCCCTTCTCCATGATGGTCAATAACAGGTCCACACCTGGGGCTCCCATCTTCCCTTCTGAACTATCTTCAAATCAGTGTCAAGAGCCCTAGTGAATGTCTGCTTCATAGTTCCTGTATTAGGACGATCCAGAGAAACAGACTGATGGAGTATCTGTGTAGAGGGAAAGAAATTTGTGTTAAGGACTTCCTCCTGTGGTTGCAGGGACTGGCAAGTCTGACATTTGTAGGGCAGGCAGGTAGGCTGGAAATTCAGGTAGGAGTTGATATCTGGAGTCTGAAATCTGCAGGACCTGCTGGCAGGTGGAAGACAGGCCGCTGGCCGTCTCTGCTGCAGCCCGGATGCAGAATTCCTTCTTCGGGAAACTCGTCTTTGCTTTGAGTACTTAGACTTCCCTCTACCCAGGCGGATTCTGTTGCTGCACCAGTGAGCAAGCAGCTTGGCCCTTTAGGCCCAGTAACTCATTTAGCAGATGGGTATTTAGTCCCTCCTGCTGTGTACCAGCTTCTGTACTAGGTGCCCCAGCACCAATGTGAATCAGACTCAGCCTCAGAGTCAGGTGGCAACGTGAGTCTAATACATTCTCACAGTGAACAGTTTTACTCGTAACTAATCTGGGACTGACATTCATGGGGCAACTGTTGTTTCCTGAACCCATTAGTCGTTGTGTGTCTTTAAGGAGTGGTTGATGTCCAGAGCTGCTTTGAGAGGGGTGGTGGCATCACCACCAGGCCCCACAACCCGGACCTCATCTCAGATGTTCTAGGGAATGAGACTGAATGTGAAATGTTTTCAAAGTTAAAAAAAAAACACACACAAGTCTAGACTTGTGGTCGGGGCTCCCAGAGTCCCCATGCTGACATTACCACAGGCCTGTAATAACACTGTCCATGTGTCACATAAACGTGGAGCCAGAGCTACATAAACGTGGAGCAGAGCAGCCTGCACTTGATCAGGAAGAGCAGTGGTTCAGAGTCCCTGGAGTGCAGTAACACCACAGTGCTTTCTCCTTTCCAGGACATTATTAATAATGTAAGGAGGAATTTAAGCATTATGCTGTAAAGCAGGCAGTAACTAGCTTCTGGTTTTGTTTTGCTGTGTTTTAAACACCTCTGCATTGTAGTTGCACATTGGATTGCTCCCACATGTCGGGGAGAATTCCCCTGCCCTTTATCCTGGCTCAGATGTCTCTGACCAGAGTCTCATAAATGGAATTTAGAACTTGGAATAGAGTGTGAAAGACACTGGGAATTACATGTTTTGGGCAATGTAAAATGTCACATATCTTTATTAATTTCTAGTACCCAAATTTAATTTATATTATATGCACTACATGAAGCTTCGTGATTAGACTTGTAGAATCTTAACTGAAAAACACAAGTTTTTAAAATTCTCTACTGTTTTGCCTAAGTTCTTTTGAATCCAGTTTTGTACGTACCATTTTAAGAATATATTATCATAGCATAATACAAGTTGTAAAAACAAAAAGTTCTTCGTATTTATAAGCTGGTGTCTCAGCATCAGCACCGGTGCATGAGGTGGTGAGCCTTCCTGCTCACTTGAGTATACACCTGGATGTAGTTGTACTCTTTAGCTAAATTCATCTTGACCCCTAAAATTCTCCAGTGGATTGGCTAAGTGAAGATCAAGAGACTTAATCAACATAGTCTTATGAAAAACGGAGGGCAGAGCTAGAAAAGTACCTGGGCCTAACTCCCTGTCAGACTTCCAGGAGGCCCCTCCAGGCGGCCCCTCCAGGCTGAACTTTGCCTCAATCCTTAGCAATCACCACCCCCACCCCAGAGGAAGGCTGCTGTGCCTCAGGTGTCCTCAGGGCTGACTTCCCTCCTGCTCCCTCTGCTGGTGCTGTTAGCAGTGCAGTCCTGTTTCCCAGTTTTGTTAGACTGAGTCATGCCCTGAAATTGTCTCTAAGAGCATTGTAGCAGTTGTCAACACCTCCATGTTGACTATGTTATTGAAAAGCAAACTGAACTGTTTTGGAAACGTGGAACATTTTTTCCTAGAATTAGTGAAATTTTTTTCACCCAGATATATAAATAATAATTTGGTAGTGAGATCATCGGCTGGCATCTTGTGGAAACATACCACAGAGGAGAAATGTCTGCTCCGAAGTAACAGTAGAGGCCTTGATAGGGAGGTCAGATCTGTGGACTTGAAGCTCCAGTTCTGGAGAGAGTGTGGGAAATGCAGGGAGGGAGTGGAGCACATAACCCTCGCTGGTGAGAACACGTCATACCAGTTTGTGGAGCCTGTGTTCGGCATGTCCTGGTACCTAAGAAAAAGCAGGAAGGATCATAGAGTCATTCAATAGGCATTGAGTATTTATTGATCTCCACCTCTGAGGCCTGATAACTACGCTAGCTACTGACACAAAAATGAATAGGGACCAGATTAAACCTCAGACCCTCTGCAGTCCAGTGGGGAAGAAAGACTACGAACAGGCAGTGGCAATACCGTGGTTAGGAGAAGGACTGAGAGAGGTGTAGGGAAGACGATGAAATCCTAGCCCACAGTAAGGGCTGGGCCCGGGCAGAGAGGAGGTTAGCAAAGGCTGCCCAGAGAGGACGATCCAGGCAAAGACGCAGCGTCCAGGTGAGAGCTGCGGGGGCCACCGGGGCCAGGAGGGAAGAGGACAGGAAGGGGGATAAGCTGAAGGAGGGCAGCTCCCACCGATGTTCTCCTGCACTGTTCCCAGAAGTTAGACTTTACTAAGTAATTGTTGTCATAGGTACCACTCAGTAGGGTGTTTACAGCAGACCGGGTCCAGTACCGAATGTTTGTATGTGTTAACTGCTGGAGCCTTGCAGCCCTAAGTACCAGACCCAATCATTGCTGTTTTATGGATAAGGAAATGTGGGCGCCCAGAGGCCCAGTGGGTGGAGCCTGGATTCCATCAAACCCCAATCTGGGTCTCCGGAAACTGCAGCTGGGATCCCTGGGCCCATGGTGCGAGGCACTGCAGTCTTTGAAGCGGAGGACTGATGGGTCACTGTTTTTAGAGAGACAACTCCAGAGCCTAGATTGGAGGCATGAAGAAATGTCACACTGCAGGAGTCCCGGCAGAGGTGAGCCGACCAGGGTGGTGGACTGAAGAGATGAAGTCCTGAAGGACTGCAGGCTTGCTTGCTGACTGTCGCAGACTTCATGTTCTGGATGAGTGGGAAGGAGGAGGAAGAGGTGGGCGCAGAGCCCAGGCCAGAGCAGCTTCTGCACCTCCAGAACGGCTGCTCCTCGAGGGGCTTTAATCTTCCTTCAGTGAATGCACTTAGCCTGGCTCTGTACTCAAGGTCAACACGAACCAGCTCTATCCTGGAAAAGCCTTCTCCAGAGATGATGCTGTACTGTATTCCCCTTGTGCTTGCTGTCTGATCTGTTTCTGCTTTTCTAAATGTGAATAGACAGCTTAGTTTTTAAGGTGCATTATCAAGGTGATGCACAAAAAACCAGACGTTCGTTTACAAAAGACATCTATCTGCCTGATGGATGCATCTCAGCTCATCCTCCCCACCCACCTCCCTAGCCTGGTGCTGATTCTGCTCCCTGACAGCGTTAAGGGGGGCAGGGGGGCAGTCTGTATCCACGCAGCCTCCAGCTCTCCCTCCCTGCCTCCTCCTCTCTTGGCTTCTCAGCTCTTCAGATGCATACCACTGCTAAAGGGGGTCAGCTACATTGCATTTTTGTGCCCTGTGCCCATGAAGTCATTCGATGGCTAAAAACACACCACTGTGTAGAACTCTGGCATTTAAAAGCAGCGATGTTCTCAGGAGTGATGTGATGGATTTGGAATTGCCTAATTAATTTGAAATGCAGCCACTGCTTGGGGTCCTTGGCTTGTTTTGGCCTCAGCCTTAGAGCTGTCTGAGGGCAGCGTGTCTCGTGTCTCTTGGGAGAACTTGCTTTAGGAGTGCTGGCCCTGCTGGGGCCAGCTGAGTGCCTGCAGTCGACCTCACTGACTGCAGCCCCCCCCCTCCCCCCTCCCCCGTGCTCTGCCCGTCAGACAGAGTCAGTCAGTTTGCCCTGTGAGCTCTGCCTGTGCTTGGGAAGGCCAAGACCCTTTCCAGGTTCTTGAGGGGAAAACTGCTTTCATAATAATACTCAAAGGCTGGGTTGTTTTTTTTTGGGGGGGGGTTCAATTGTTGATATTTTCACTGATGTTGCAAAAGCATTGGTGGCTAAAACTGCTTCTTAGCACAAGCACGGTAGTGGGGCCCAGCTCCGCTAGGCGTGGTGTTTTCGCTGCCCAACAGCAGTCAGAGAGAAGTGCCAGTCCCCCTTACGGGTGTCCTTGGTGAAACAGTAAAACCGCTGATTGTAGTAAACCTCCGTCTCTGAGTCTCTGAGTACCTGCGTCTTTAAGACCAAGTGGGAAATAACCTGAGAAGCACTCTGGCCACAGGCTGGAAGAGCATTTGTGTGACCTTTGAGCAGCGCTAGCCACTTGATCGTGACACACGTTCGACTTCAGACATGACTGGCAGACTGTTCAGTCGCGGACACTGGCAGATATTCTCTCAAAAGCCAATTAAGTGATCCTGTCACCTTTAGGAAAATGGCTGCCAGGCTTTGGTGAGCTTGATTCACTGTACAACAACGTGACCAATATGTGGGAGGTCTGGGTAACATGCTGAACTGACCGTCCAGATAATCATTGTACAGCGTCACAGAAGTATACCTGGGTGAACCTTCCATGTTTAAGAGCAAGATCAACTAATGGGTTTTAATGTGACCACATGAAAAGTTCATTGATACTGTGTTATGTTCCTCATTGCAACTACCTTTTATAAAACTAGCACTTAGCAAGTGTTGATGAAGTGTCAAAGAGGACTGTTCCCAGGATCTGCAAAGACTCCAAATATCCCGTCCGTTTTCAGTGATACATCGAGTCTTTGTACACCTGCGCAGCAACTGGGAGAAACAACCAGCCTCTGAAGAGTCGCCCATTAATGAGATCGGCAAACATTAAAGCAGGACCAGTCTTCTCACTCTTTCTTGTTTTTGAAAATGTGTTTTCATAAAAGGTGTGTTATTTCAAACTAAATTAATAAACCTTTCAAGTATTTTCTATTTTACTTTCTAATGTGGTATATGTTGATAGATACAGTTCAAATAAACATAATTTCTTTGGATTGTCATACATTTTCAAGAATGTAAAGGGGTCCTGCGTCTAAAAAAATAAGGATCTTGAGAGTGGCGAACTTCTGATTTTCAGGACCAGGCAGTAAAAGTCTGGATTTTGTGAGCCGCGGAGCCTCACAGCCCAGAGCTGCCGGCAGGGTCTGCGACACGGCACAGCCTGTTTTACTGAAACGGGTGGCAGTCCGTAACTTGCTGACTATGGCAAAATTTCCCCGAAAAGAACATTGTAGGACTTTTTTGACAACTTAGCCGGGTACCCTTTATGCATTGTTTGTATTCCAAAAGAGTATTAATTTTGGTGCTCAAAACTGGAATCTGAATTCTTCTGAGTTAGTGCTTGTCAAGAGAGGCACCTTTCATAAGTGGTTTCAAGGGTGGCACCTGCCAAGTCTCTACTCCTGTGGGGTTGTGGGGCGGGAAGATCTCTCCCGGGGACGCTCCTCGGGACGCAGAGCAGGGCCCCAGTGGAGAAGGGGAGCTGCTTTGGGGACCTGAGTGGGGTATGAGCCCCACAAATGCGTGTATCCACAGGACTGTCCGGCAAATCAGAAATGCATAATCTCCCCTCTCACAAATCAGTACTGTCAGTGCTCCAAGTTGAACCTGAAATGTGCATAGAATTTTTGAAGCTAAAGATAGCCTATGGAAATTCCCTTATTGCTGATTTACTCTGGTTTCAGGCTGGTTTCTGAGGAATTAATTACTTGGCATGGGAAATTTCAAGACATAGTTATGTATTTAGGCTGCTTTGTGGAAAGGAACAAATGCCCCCCATTTCTGTCCCTTAGTCCGATGAACCTACTTTCCTCCACCCAGCTCTTGACTCCCTGGTCAGCCTCCATTATGGGAGCCTTGTCTGGGGGACCTCAGACAACTTGGAAAAGTCTGACTGTCAAGTCAGATGAAGAGAGACACGGGTCTGCCCTTATGGACTAAATCACGTTGGTGGCCGGTGCTATGCTGAAGCATTAGGTCAGGCCATTGCTAGAAAATGAAGAGTGAGCTGAGATTGCTCTCCTGTGGGCCTTTGCATTGTCAGCAGTATGTAAAGATGCACAGAGATTAGGCTGGTTTTCTTTTTAAGCTCAGACCAGCACCCAGCAGTGGCTGAGTGGCACCGGAGGCGGCTCTCGCTGTGTACGAGACGCACTTGATCCGAGTGCAGGAGGCAGCTGGGGGGCACGAGGGGCAGCGCCTTTCCCTGAGCGTCGAGCAGCCTGTCCGCTGCACCCTCACTGTCCCGCGGACTCCGTCCTCGGAAGGTTCGGAAGCTGCAGGAGGAGAATGGCCACAGAAAGCACGCGCCATCCACAGAAGGTGAACACATGGGTCTCTGTAACAGGTGACAGGACCAGCCGTGATGGCCGGCGCTGTGCTTCATGTTGGTTTGCCTGAGGCAGGGTCTCCTTCCAAACAAGCAGTATACTGAAAATACGCTTACGGGTCTCTTCATTGTTGGTGTCTAATTGGCTTCAAGTATTGAATGATTCACTTAAGATATTTTCCTAGATTATATTTGTTCTACAGAGAAAAAAAGTAAGTTTGTCACTTGTGTGCCTTTAGATTCTCACGACGCAGTCTTGAGGTTTAACGCTGCCCCGACACGTGGCTATGAGAAGGATGTTGGGAATAAAACCACTATGCGCATCATTAACTCCCAGGTAAGACAGATGGGGTGTTTGCATGGCTGTGCGTTCTCTGCGTAATTCGTTTAGCTGGATGAGTGAAGAGAAATTACCCAGTTACCCAGGACCATGATCTTCCTTATTTCTATGAGTCTTGTAATTATAAAGAATTAATGAGGAAAAAAATGTAGCGAAATGGGAATTCATGTGTGATATGAATAGGAAAAAAATGAGTAAGATCAAAAGGAAAAATATGTGTGTGTGTGTGTGTGTGTGCATGTGTGTTTATATACACACACATATATGAACGTCTTTGGAAAGACATTCAACTTACAAGAGTACTGACCACAAGGTAGTGGAGGAGAGAAAAGCGAAGGTACAAAACTCAAAGTGAGCAGGGTAGCTTGAAAACTTTAGTCTGTTATTTGAAATTTTTAAAAATGAAAATGAATTGTTGAAGATGAAAATACCTCTTTTCTTTGTATTCTTAATAAGAATGTTTTCCAAATTTATAGCAAAATTATTCTCAGAATAGTCCACAATTTTTAGAGTTTAAACTATATAGAAAATTGTGCGGTGATGAATGATTTATGATGAGTTGCTTGCAGAACAAAAAATTAAGTTTCTGCTCGGCACCCTGAGCCAGGCGGCATACAGCAAGGTGAGAGACATTTACTGTATTCCTGAATTTATAGACACCATTGATCATGAGATTCACCACTCATTTTATAATGGCTTTTCAGAGAGGAGGAGATAAACCCCACCAAATTAAAATACATGTCACCTGTAAGATACATTTCCACTTCAGAAACATTAAAATGTGAAGAAGAAAAGTACATTTTAAAAAACTATGACAAATTGCACCTTAAAACTGAAATTAAGACATTATTTTTTTCTCAAAACTGTAGTTTAAGAAAAGATGGTTGGCAGGTCAGGCTGAAGAGCTCATCGGACTGAACAGGGCCACAGAGGGAATGGCCAATCTGGGTCGACTCGCTGACGGTGTCCCCTCTGTCCCGAGGCACCTTTGCAGTCAGTTCAGCTGTATCTGTCCCTCCAGATACCTGGGAAGGCAACTGCAGAAGGTTGCAAGGGCCTGAGTTACTAGGGTGTTACATCTCTCAGGAGCCAAATCGATGCCACTAGATATGAGTACAGTGCTTGGTGAGAACGAGTAGATTTAAAAACATCCCAACAGCCCTACAGCCCTGGCCGGTTTGGCTCAGTGGTCCGAGCATCAGCCCATGGACCAGAGAGTCCCGAGTTTGGTTTCCACTAAGGGCATGTACCTCGGTTGCAGTTTGTCCCTGGTCCCGGTTGGGGTCGTGTGGGTGGCAAGCACTTGATGTGTCCCTTTCACGTCGATGTTTCTCTCTCTCTCTCTCTCTCTCCCACCCTCTCTCCCTCCCACTCTATCTGACGATAAATGCAAAAATGTCTTCAGGTGAAAATGAAAACAGCCCAACAACAACAAAAGCCTCATTTCCACAGACATGTAACTGCTCTCACATGTGATGCCCCTACCCTTCCCCAGAGGAAGATGTAGTCGGAGGAACTTTCTGAAAATGCATCAGAGCAAGGGAAAAAATTTCCATCTCATATTAAAAGATGATTTTGAAGAACTTGCTTTGAAATGATTGTTCTGTGTATTTGCAGATTCTGACCAACCCCAACCATCACTTCCTTGACAGTTCCTTGTATAAAGATGTCATTTTGGTGGCCTGGGACCCCGCTCCTTATTCTGCAAATCTTAACCAGGTATGTTTTTATTTGTTGTCCATACCCTAACCCTCGTGGTCAGAGGGCGCCTTTGACTGGGTACTCACTGAGCAAGCCGAGGATTAAGCTTTGATAGACATAATGAACCTGGCCGTGGGTGCTGCTTAACGACGTGTGTCCAGGCCACGGAGACCCGCTTCTTGGCGAACATCATCCCCCTGAAAGGGGCCTTTGCTCTGAAGGCTTTGTTTTCTCAATGTCCAATGTCCAAATGTTCAGAAATTCCTACTTATGGTGGAGGTTGGGCTGATTAAACTCAAACTGTTTCCATTATGATAGGGTTACCTTACCTTCCACGAAGTCGCAAGACCTTTTGCAATAAACGGGAAGTGCTTGGCAAGAAAATCTAAACTGCATCAACAGCTTGTTATTGTTCCAGTGAACCTGTTACGGGCTTTTCTTGATGGTGTCACTCTTTGGCTTTGGCTAAAGCTGTTTAATCTTGTGATGTGGCAAAGACAAGGTCATCACTAGCCGTCAGAGAGGGAGCGAGTTAATGCGCAGCCTTCCGCATCGCGCTGCCTGTCTGAGCCAGCAGCCGGTCTCTCTGGCGAAGCCCTGGATGAGAAGCCAGGGAGACTGCAGGGCTGGGAGACAGATGATGGTTTAGCCTGTGACAGATGCTGTCTGCTGTGCCCGTGAGTGTCTTCCAGCTCGTTCTGCCCTGACTCAAGGGAATACAGTCTTGTGGGGGAGCCGACCTCGGCTCCACCAGGAGGTGACTGAGAGAGCTGCCCAAGGTTGCTGGAGCTGGACCGTTACCCAGCGTGATTACCCGCCAGCTTTCACCAGGACTGAAATCAGCATCACCAGGCGAGGGCTCTTCAGGGCTGTCAGAGCCCGGACGCTGCATTGCCAGAAATGCAGCATACAGCGGAGATGCGTGTTTTCTGAGGAAACCTGGTTGGTTCTCCTGTGTCCCCTCTATTGAGAATTGAGCATCAGATGGATGTTGAAACTTTTCAGCTTCCTTCCCAGCCCGAGGTTCTCTGGCTTTCAGTGCTGGTAGCTTTCTTGCCGTTGTGGACAGACTGAGAGCTTCTCGCCGCCGAACCTTGTTTCTCGCTCTGCTGGGGGCATCCAGGCCCAGGCACAGAGCCATGCGACCCCACGGTGTGGGCGGCGCTGGTGCCCAAGTCCCGTGAGGGCTGCTGTCCGCGGGCCTGTCTCCGCACCCCGCGTCAGGGCTGGGGAGGGGGGTAGAGAAGCAGGCCCCACATTCCTCTGGCTTCCTTCCCTCCGCCGCATTTGAGATGATCTGGCCCAGTGATTGTCAACATTTCCAAACAGCAGACCACATTCAGCCACGGAACCTTCCTCGGGATCTCACTATGCACCAGGGTGTCTGTTTGAAGGGAGTGTGGGGCCTGAGCCTCCCCTCCTGCACCTCCCCCAAGTCCCTTTCATGGTGGCAGCTAACACACTTGTGCAAACATGTTTTTAAAGTCAACCCTATGGTTCATTTTTTCATTAAATAATTTATATACAATCAGTGTAAGTACACATTTTGATGAGTACTAGCAAATATCTGTGGTTGTGTTTCTGCCACCACAACAGAGAAGTCCCTGTGCCCACCCATCAGTCTTCCCAGCCCCAGGCCCAGCCCCAGGCCCAGGCCTTAGCTGATTTGATTTCTGTTGCTATAGATTAGATTTGGAAAACAGTAGTTTTGAGCCCAGGGGTCAGCAAACCGCAGGCATGGGACAAACCTGGCCCTGGGGTTTAAACGTTTTGTTGGATCAAAGCCGTGCCATTCATCTCTCGTGTGGCTGCTCGTGTGGCAGAGCTGAGCGGTTGCTAGTTGCCGGAGACTGTAACCCAACAAGCCCTTCACAGAAATGCTGCCGAGCGCTGCCGTGGCCACCACCCCCTTTACTGAAGAGTCTGTCCCTCGGGCTGCCCCCCCACTTTGTCCACATCCCCTCCTCCACCTCTGAAGCCCTCCCTCCCTCCGGCGCTGTGAGTCCTTTGAACAGTGTGGTCCTCGGTACCTGATTGTGTTGATATTTTTTCTTAGTGGTACAAGAAGCCCGATTACAACCTGTTCACTCCATATGTTCAGCATCGCCAGAGACACCCCAATCAGCCATTCTACATTCTTCATCCTAAATTCATATGGCAGCTTTGGGACATCATCCAGGAGAACACCAAGGAGAAGATCCAGCCCAACCCTCCGTCTTCTGGCTTCATCGGTAGGTGCCTGTGGGAGACGGGAACGGTGGGTGCACAGGCAGGTTGGGCCTGACGTGTAGCGCACACCTTCAGTTAGACAAGAATAGCAACTAAAGGTGGTTTCAGCCCGGCCGGTGTGCTCAGTGGTTAGAGCACTGGCCCTCGCACCAAAGGGACATGAGTTCGATTCCTCGTCAAGGGCTTGTACCTGGGTTGCAGGTTTGATCCTCGACCCCTCAGGGCACAGGTGGGAGGCAACTGGCTCCCATTCCTCCCCCCTCCGACTCTTTCTAAAAATCAATGGAAAAAATATCCTCGGATGAGGATTAACAAAATAAATAAATAAATAAAGTTGTTTTGTTTTGTTTTTTTAAGTAGTTTTAACAGGAAAATAGACTAACTGAGCAAAAGAGAAACATTCTGCCCCACTTTCTGTTGCGGCATAACCTTCTACTCCAGGATCCCAAGGTGTAAGCGAGAACTGCTCTATTTTCTCTCACGATTTAGTGGGTCCGGACGGGCTCGTCTGGGCCACACTGTGTTCACAGGCACTGATGGGTGACGTGGTCGCATTCAGCTGCTTCACGGGACGACCTCACTCCCAGGTCTGCGCCTGGGCAGGTCCGGTGGGGAGGCCGGGCTCGCAGGACTGTGAACGTGGAAGCACATGGTCTCTGGCCTGGTGGTCTCGGGACAACTTCTTCTTAATTGGGTTCCTGGCACGTTTCCAAAGACAGGAAGTGGAAGCTGCCAGTTTCTGAAGGCCAAGGCCTGGAGACGTGCCCAGCACTCCCATGCTGTGCTCTGGGGGTCAGAGCACCGGGGTCCCATCAGCTTCAAGGGGAGGAGTTGTGGCGTAAATGACCCCACTGGGCCGTCTTGCTGGCTGGGGAGCGGAGCAGGTGACCACAGCACAGTGCCAGGCTGGTCCCGGCTCTGAAGAGGCTAATTCGAGCACCTCATACATCTCTCACAACTCGAGTCCACCAGCTCTAATGCAAAACAGACTTCACCTAACAAGATGGTCACACTTGGCTTATTGTATATTTCCTCAGCCAGGCTTTGATCCTCCAGCTTTGTGATCTTACTCCATTTCTTTACTTACCTTTCAGCACAAGGCCCGTTATTTCTTTGATTTCACTGAGTTGGGTAACATTAAAGAATTTCTTAGATCTCATTGGCAATATGAAGGCAATAATAGAATCAAAGGATATTAGTTTCGGGCACAAGAAACTGTAATGTTCTCCACCCTGATTACAATGACTTTGTGACTCAGCACCTTAGGTCCGGCCACCCTGTGGGTCCCCGTGAATACAGGAGAGATTTAAGGAGGCAACACGGTTTGGGTATGGACACAGAGCACTTGCAGTGTCTGAACTGAGGCTGGCAGGTGTAGGGTTTTAGTAATGTAATAATGTGGATATTTTATGCAGAATTCAAGACAAAATATACGCCATGACTACACATTACTCCCTTGATGTTTAAAGCCTGTGACCCCGTGTCTTCTGTGTGATCCGTTGGATCCTATTGATTTAGGAGAAAAGTATAAGCCAGTTTGTCAACAAAGGGTAAACAGGGTAGAAAAACGCTTAGTGTAATAGGATGTGACAGAAGCTTAATGGTCTTTTTCTTACTGTTGCCTTCTCGTGAGTTCATTTGGCTAATGTTTGATCAGAGCAGAGTTGTGGGCACAGTGGGGGCTGTCAGATATGCTCATTGTGATGCAGTTTGAGATATTCAAGTTAGATGGTCATAGCTGGAGAGAAAATGTCTCGTATGTTTCTGTTGAAAGAAATCATGCCTCATGTGTGTGGCCCCAGCTTCCTGTCATAGCTGGGCTGGGAATCTGCAGTTTCCAGGCCGACACTTGCCTCTCAGGCCCCTTCTACGTGGAACGGGGCAGGGGCTGCAGCTTGACCTCTGCAAGAGTGTCATTGGGTTGGACAGCTGAGTGGGACTCTCCCCTGCCACTTCCTGGCTTTGTTATCCAGGCCGAGTTGCTCGATCCCGTGAGCGTCCCCGAGTGCAGCTGACAACTGACAACGGTAATAAAGCCTTGGGAATAGTTAGCCGGCCAGTGTGCGGTTGTTATTTTCTAGTGGTGTTCTGTCCTACGTGGCAGCTGTTGGCCACACGTGGCCATGAAGTCAGGATCAGTGAGAGGAAACTCCAGTTCCTCAGTGTTACCAGCTCCGTTTCCAGTTTCGGTGGCCATGTGCCTCTGGCGGCCACCGGCTGGGGCGGTGCAGGCAGAGGACGTCATCGGCGCATCCTGCAGGGCAGCACTGTTTAGTCTGCTGGCCACAAAAGAATGAAGAAGAACAAGTTAATAAGATGTCATTGCTCCCACTGGGCAGGTGTGTAGAAGGTGTGGCCTGACACCATTGACTTCATCTGCCACTCTTGTCCCTTGCCACATCAGTGAGCCCCTCACTAAAGGTGGCAGGAGAGAAGCCTGGGCTTTCTTATATACCAGTAAAATGATGTCACCTGAATCTTAGTCTCTCTGTCAGAAGAATTTTTAAAGATCAATGAGTGTTTTTTTTTATCAAAAAGTGTTCTCCAAATGTGCCTTCGTGTTCTAAGGTCATGTTGGAAAGCTCTTGACTTATTGTCTCACCACCGCATCATTTCCTAACACTGGATGTCAGTTACGGAACAGAAGAGCCCATGGTGGAGCCCGTCAGCGAGGTTAGCAGGTGTCCCGTGCACGGTGGCGGCCCGTGCCCAGCACACGGTCGGCAGCCCCTGGCCTCGCCACTTCCTGCTTAGCCCAGGGCTCTACTTGCAGGAGGAGAGGACGAAGCCTTCTCTTCCCCCGTGAGCGGCTCTCCCAGCCGTGAGAAGCCGTCTCACATTTCGTGTCCTACATCTCTGAGCCACGGCACCCGTTTTTCCTGTATGTCTTTATGAATCTGCTTATGTGAAATAGAGGGACGCCAAAAGTCGGCTGTTTGAACACAAAAGACATTTCTTTTATGGAAGTGTAGCCAATGCTGTTATATTCCCAGGGGAACACACCTGGCCCCTTAAGTGTAAAGTTATTGGTACTGTTTAGAGGCTGTTCCCGGGGCTGAGTTGATTGTGTGGGAGGAAGGCAGGGAACGTGGGAGGGAAGGTCACGCCCAGGCGCAGGCGGGCCCAGGGCCGTGAGGGAGGAGGCCGGGCAGAGGTCCTGCCAGAGCTCGCAGAGCAGAGCAGCCCGCCAGGCATTCCGTGGGGACTGCGCACATGCAGTACACAGATGGTGTAAGGGCAGTGAAGGGACAGAGCAGGCCTGGAGGTCGGGGAAGTGTCTGCTCTGCCCATCACTGGGCTCCTGCTCTAGTCTGGCACACAGTAGATACAAAAAATAATTATTTGGAGAAGGAATGAATGTTTTAGCTCAGTGCTTCTCGAAGTAGAGCATGTGTCAGAATCATCCAGAAGGCTTGTGTATTAGTTACCTAGTGCTGCCAAGAAATCATCCCAAAACTCAGATACTGAAAAAAACAGTCGGCCTTCATCATCTCACACAGTGTGGATGGGTTATGGAGCAGGCTGGCCGGACGGCTCGGCTTGGGATCTCAGGAGGTCGCAGTCATGCTGTTTAGACGTGGGCCAGCCCGTCTGCTTTCAAGGCGCTCACTTGTACGACAGCTGTTGCCAGACCACAGGCCCCAGCTTCCAGCACAGGACCTGTCCATAGGCTGCTTGAGTGTCCTCCCAGCATGGCGGCTGGCTTCCCTAGGGCCAGCGACCGGGGGGAGGAGGCATAGTACTTCTCATGGGGTCAGAAGTGACCACGTCGCCTACTTTCTGTTTGCTGTATGAGTCAGCCTCGTGGCTGTGACGTGGAGCCGCAGGATGATGTGAACACCAGGTAGTGATCAGTGACAGCCAGGACGGTGGCTGGTTACCAAAACCTGTTTAAAGGGTTCCTGGGCCCACCCCTGGAGTTTCTGAGCAGGTGGAGGAGCACGAAATTGTATTTCTAACAGGTTCTCAAGTGATGCTGACTGAGGCTCCAGGTCCTGGGACTGCACTTTCAGGACCATTCTTCTAACTTGTTAGAGTCTGAAAGTTGGAGCAAACTGTAGAAATCTAGTCCACAGGTTCTACATTGATAGACATACCCATCAAGGTGATACACACTTGGCTCAGTAGGAGAGCCCAGAATTCTACAAATACGTATCCTTTTTGTTTCTTTGAAGAGATAGCTATAACATTTACTCCCATGAGGTACTCATTTTATGTCCTGAAAACTTAGTGAAAAAAGACATATTAACAGCTGACTATAAATGCCCTTCATAAAGTGGATTTTTGTTAGTTTAGTTGATTGGTTGGTTCTATCATCTTGGGAACCAGATTCTTGTATACTGATTACTGGGGTGTAAGTTTGAGAACCAAAAAGCAAGGTGCCAACTCTTCATGGATTTCGGGAAACCAGCCTCCAGTACTATTTGGGTAGATGGTTCAGCCGACGTCTTTTGTTCAAGACGTACAGCATCCTTTTGCACCTTCGTTAGCAACCCCAGCCCTGCAGCAGCAGCACCCTCGATGGCACACAGACCCTGTGGGCGCGCCTGCGCATGGACACGGGGCTGTGGGGCGCTGTGCTGGGAGAGGGAAGACAGGTCTGGAGGAGATCAGTTCAGTGCACCATCCCGAGTGTCCTGAGTGGGAGTGGGCCTGGGGACATCGCTGCACGAGCAGTGTGCTTTTGATCTCGATGCTGACGCACAGGCTGTGTTTCTCCCGGGTTCTGTGGAATCTATGTATTATCAGTTCTTATGGAGAACTCTTCTTTGGGAAAAAATGTCCCAGTAAAATCAGATTTGGGCAAAAATACTTACTTTGCAACTACATAAATTCTTCTTGTTTTATCTACAAATGCAAGGACTGCTTTTTCTACTCAGAAAGAGCAGCAAGTTGTAGAACTTGAGGAACACATCAACCTATCGTTGAAGTAAGAACCTCTTCACAGAAACTCACTATATTGTTGGGAAAACATTTCAGAAGTTTGCAATTCACTTACATA